CACGTTATTCACCAACTCTGTCGCCACCTACCACGACACATATGCCGACCACCACCGAACATGGGGATCACCTCTCTGAGGCCTCCCGTTCGGGATCGTTCGTAGGGGACATCTAATAGACCACTACTACTGATCAACATCGAAGGAGACCAGACCTACCAGTTCCTCTGGTGTGACCGCATGTGCTTTCGTTGCAAGCTTCTGTCGGAGATCTGTGACCTACGAGGCACACGTCCTCATCCGACTACAACGTGAACCTTCCCCACCATAGCTCTGAGTTCATTTATGATCTGCGTGTATTTGGATATATGGAAGCTCACATTGAGCACATTCCTCGTAACCTGAAGTTATGGTTACACGTGGAGTCACCGTTCGTCTGGTACCTTAGTCTTTATTTTCTTCGCTCTATTGGCGTACTTGAGCGTATTGTGAGTGTCCTCATAATTGAGATGACACGGTGATATATTAGCGATCATTACGGTACGACAATTTCCTCCCAAGGAGTCCTTCAATAAGCGTGTGAGCTTTGAGTCTCTATATGGGACGAAGCTGCTCTGCTTTCCCCCTGCTTGATCTGCTAATGCTGTAATGCAGTTCCCCAAGGCCAGCAAGGACCTATTGATGTTCGCTCCCTCGATCATCCGCAGCCCCTTGTTGTTGGTTTGACTGGCCCGCTCGCTGCCCGCCAAGTCTATCATCGACAGCTTCCCGACAAGGACCTCAGCAACGAGACCAGACCCCTTCTCCCGTTGCTCAACCACCACTTGGAGCACAGCGTGGGATCGAGAGGATGTCTCATTGGCTGAAGTGGGCTCTGTAGTGCGGTTCCTATTGCCGCGTTGTAGGAGTTCCATTATCTCCTGGGCTGATTCGAGACCACCGACCTCACTGATACCGGCCACACTCATCCCTTTCACCGGGTCCTCACGCAGATCGAGGTAATCGGAGCTCGAGGATGCCAACAGGTCTCGAATATTCTCGTTGTAGACCTACGCTCATACTGAGTAGCTCACAAACCATCGAGGCCATTGAAAATCGGTGTCGCGAAAGGAAACATGCGGTCTGAGCTGGTGGACCTATTTACACTGCTCTTACCTCCAGGAAGCTGCACTTGATCTGAACGTGCTTCTCATTGCGTCGCTTCAGGCCTTAACGTGATCGAAGAGATCTCTGCGCGACTAATCTTGACCCAGAGACGTATTCTACAGCTACCTCAGCGTGAGATTCATAGT